TCAGAGTTGAAGTCTGTTACGATTTTGGTGACTCCAACTCCGTATCCGACCAAAACCGTCGACTACGACCGAAGTCGACTCCGACCCCGCAGTCCTGCAGCTACACTGCACAGAAGTTGGAAAAAAACTGTACCTATGGTTGACAGCGATTTACAGAGGACCACACGATTTTTTAGAGGCAGGGCTGCTGGACTTGGTGACCAGACCCTAACTGTCCTGGTATCAAACTTATTACGCGGGATGCAAAATTTATGCGTTTTGGGACTGTTTTGCCAAGAGTTTTTGCCAATTTTCGCGGCGCTTCGCGCCGCCAATTCATGCACAGGTAGAAAAGAGTGTGACTAATAACGCCTCCACGTGAGAACATGTGTATTGTGTATGCGTTACAAGTAGTGCATAGGCCTTGAAATTGTACGCTAAACTAACTAACTTTTGGGTTTTTAGTCAGCCAATCCGTCCCCCCCCCCCAGTCAAAAATCCGTGGCGACGCCCCTGGTTGTACCCCCCCCCCCTTCGGCCGGCGCGTATGTAGAAAACCAATAGGTCCGGCGAGGGTTAAAGGTAGTGTGCCACCTTTGAAAGATTTCCCATTTTATTTTTCCTAGGATAAGAAGCTTCTGTTTTTACCTAATATCGCAAAAAAAAATCAAAAATGGGTCTGGAATAGTGCCTTTTTCGCCTAAAAGTTTATCGGTTTTTCGATATGTATAACAACTGTAGTGGGCTGACTGCAAACAGGCGTCGGCAACAATCCCGAATGCGGCGCACATGTGACAATAAGCAAAGGTCATTATAGAGTTACGACGTACGGGAACGAGTTATCAGCTGTCTTATCGTAGACAACACAAGTCGAGCCTTAAACTGTAAGCCTGTATTGGTATTGTTTCTTTTATTTGGCTGTCGAACATTATTTATGGTTTGAAATATGATTTTATGTAAAATAATTGATATGAAAAAGCCGTCTCTTAAGTTATGACCCCATTTCACCACACGCAAGTGGCAGAAATGACAATGATCAGCTGACGCATTTTTCTTGGCCGAAGTCAGAGCGCGCGGCCCGACGCACCACCACCGCACCACAAAGTATGAGCAGAAGCCGCGCCCAAAGCCAGGGCCCCGGTAACGTGAGGTAGCCGAGTCGGGGCAGCGTGCGCTGACCCAAGCCGGGGCCGCAGCTTTGGGCGCGGTCTACCGCATCCCCGCGGACAGCCCCGGGCTATCACATGACACCGGGAGGACGCGCGGCCCCGGCTTGGGTCAGCGCACGCTGCCCCGACTCGGCTACCTCACGTTACCGGGGCCCTGGCTTTGGGCGTGGTCTACCGCACCAACTAACAGGCGTGTTCGAAACCGCAGGAGATAATGATGAACGGGTTTATCGAAACTTGATTGGATGAGCATATCGGTAATAGCGATTTCAGTGTGTGCATTTATTGTTCATAGTGGTGTGAAATGTGGTTGGGGTACGACCAACAACCCGTCGGGGCGAATTTCGCACTGGGGTACTCAAAACTTGAAGAATTTAAGACGTTTCCATGAGTTTTGAAGTTATGGATAAGTTCTAAAAATCCGGTTCTCCTTATCTGTGCCATTAACTCCATACGGTCCAGGAAAGCTGGCACACTACCTTTAAGTGTGTCATTTTTAATTGTTTTCTGATGTTTAAATTCGTTAACTTTGACATTTGTCTACCTATAAAAAGACGCACATGCCCTGATTTTCTCCCATTTCATTATACCTAATGGAAGGGTCGCAAAATTGTCCTTACCTTTGGTCAAAGACATCGCAATTTCGAGACTTACATTTTATATATACAGTTACACACTGTTTGTCCTATCAATCGCTGAAGTTATAAAGGGATCATTCAGTCGGTATATCTATGGTGAGCATTTGCCTGTTCCGTAGCTCAGTTAGTAGAGCACCGGACTCCCCGCATTGTCTTCGCTTGCGTTTTATCCGCCGGCCGAGCCAGAGAGAAAGTTACCGAGTGAAGGTCATTCAAATTTCAAAAACTCAATGACAGTGTCACTGGGGTCACGGAAATGTTTGAGTAGGTAGTGTACAACATCATTCATTAACTTGTGGGGGGGGGGGAATGAACGTATCGTTGCAATACGCTGTTCATTACGCGAGTAACTAATAAGTAAAAAATGTATGAGTTCATCCTTACTCCACCCGCTCTCCCTCTCCATAAAAAAGAGTTAATTGTGTTGCATTTTATTTATACCTATGCAGAAAAATAGAGGCGTCAAAGGATATGGCCGAATATCAGCGACCCTTGCTGTGTAAGCAATTGGGTATGACAAGTGGGGGTAATGGCCCCGTCCAGCGCCCATAAAGTGGGCACCACTCGTGCGACCTGCCGACCACTGTTCTAGATAGAGCCATAAAACACCGTGAATGTTTTGCTTGACGATACGGATCGACTGGTATGCAACATGTTTTATTTCTGGTGAGGTCATGAACTTGATCTCAGTTAACTTTTTTTTGTAAAGTCAAATTATAGTTCATTTATCGCATTAAAATGAGAGAAATACTATATCCCGGAAAAATGAACGTAATACCGCTGAGCTTAGGTTGAATCTGAAATCATTACTTAGAAAGAGTTATAAAAGAACCGTCGAACATGTCTTTTTTTGGCCATTAAATATCAGTAGGTATGCCGCCCCCCTCAGATGCCAACTGCCGCCCCTATGAGTGCAAAATGCCGCCCCTAATTGTGATTGCCGACCCAGTGAAAATCCCTTATAATACGCCCTGAACGCAACAAGCTTCGCTTAGCGCGGGCTCTGTCCTTACTCCTTGTGAATCATTCCAATCAAAAGATTCGGACTAAATTTATTTTAAAAAAAAAAAATAGAGACCAACCCGTGCTTTCTAGCACGGGCTGCGGACAATGGCAACTAAAACGTTTGGAGTGGCAGTGTTGGCACAACATCACATCGTCAACACGAAGGTCGGTACCTAAATAAGGTCGTGTAGTCAAACCCTGTAAGAATCTTGGTCAAACCAACAACAAATGGTCACATGATAAAAACGACAAATAATGAAGTTCCGCATTGTATTAAACAAAGCAAGAACAAAAAAAAAAAAAACAGAACCGAAAGTGCAAAGCAACTGATAGTGACAAAAGATCGCAAGTTGCGACCACAATTTAAATAGGTTTCCACTTAGAGTGCCCGCCCGATCGGAGGATCGGCGCTGCGCTCAGTAGTTGTAGATGTAGGCCGGCTGTTGGTAGACCGGGTAGCCCGAGCGGTAGGTGTCGGCCGGAGCCTGATAGCCGTAAGAGCTGACCGCCGCGGACCCGTGGCCCGAGCGGTAGGTATCGGCCGGAGCCTGGTAGCTGTAAGAGCTGACCGCCGCGGACCCGTAGTGCGGCGCGGATACGGCCGGCACGGCGGCCGCCGCGTACTGGTAAGCGGGCACGGGCGCGGGCGCGGGCGCGGGCGCGGGCAGCGGCGCCGGCACCTTGACCACCACAGGCGCCGTGTGCACCCGCTCGCGCACCACGGGCACGTCGGGTCCCTCCGCCTTGGAGACCTGCTGGTGGGAGACGGCCGCCGGCACGGGGCTGTAGACGCGCGCGCCGCCGTGCTGCGCCGGCACGCCCACCTGGGTGAGCGGCAGCTTCTCCACGGTAGCCTGGAAGCCGTTGATGTCGTCGGCGGTGTAGGTGACGACGCGCTCAGTGCCGTCGGCGTCGACGAGCCGGTACTGGCCGCGCACCACGCCGCCGTCGCGGCTCTCCACGTGCGACTTGTGGTCGCCCGAGTACGGGTCCGAGACGCCATAGTTGAAGTCGTAGCGGGGGTGCGGGTTCACGTAGTCGACCACCTCCAGGGAGCGGGCGACCGGCGCCTCTCCGACCACCACGGCGCCGTAGCCGTGCTCGGGCCGGCCGGCCGCCAGAGCCGCCAGCGCGGACAGAGCAGCCACCACCTGCCGAACGGGCGTGGCATCAGCACGGGACCGGACGGCGGTCAGGGAGCGCAGGTGTCAGCCATGAGTCACCGCAGTATGTGTACTACTTTATCGGTCGCTAATGTCAGAACAATATTTATTAGGCCGGATGTCACTATTCAACGCCATTACTTGTATCAATTTAGCAGGACATTCCCGCTGCTAGTTCATGAACGAAAGCGTGCCGTTAATCGGTGACACTGCTGTGTCCTGCGCTATTGTTACAACAAAATATTTCCATCCAAGTCCCCGTCACCACTCGACGATCTCACCTTAAGAGCCATCTCTGGTTTAAGCTTGGTGCTGCACGGAGGAGCCCGACCTAGCAGGTAGTGCCGTGCCCTGCGCCAGTTTCACTTTTATACCTGCTGCGCACCGGCGGCGGCCAAGGTCGAGGGGAGGGGCCGTCTCCGCAGGGCAGGGGTCAGAGCGTCTTGTGACCCCCGGCGGCAGCGCGCACATCCGGCCTGAGGCAGCCCAGGAGCGAGGAGCCAACACTGCTCCTGATTCACAGGACCGGTACCTACTTCAAAGCATCACACTTATTTCGCACCCCACTGTTGGAAAAGAATATGTGTGGAGGAAGGAATAAGAAATTATCGCACTCATAAAATATCATATAAGACAGGCTTGACAAAGGTAAGATACCGGCAACATATTTATATAGTGTGTTGGAGGTTTATGCTTTTGATGATGATTCATGAGAATTCATGAGTTCTTGACGGTAGCCGGTAGGTGATAGGTATAAACACACGAACAAATGATGAAAAGAATCATAATACTAAAGCCACAACAAGATGTTCCAAACTGAGTAGAGTTAATATATAATAATCTACCAGACATTTGTAGGTACCTAGTTATTCGACATTTACCGGAAAACGACAAATACCTAATTGTCTCAAGAGTCCAACAACATTCAGAGAAAAACATGAAATGCGAGTACAAAAGTACATTCCTCGTGGCTCGTTACACTTTGCGAAAGGCATACGTTATGCTTACTGTTAGTTCCGGCATGTCTCCGTCCCAAAACAGGTGTAGTCAAACACAGGACCTTGTATTCATCTTGTCTATAGATCCGTTTCTGCAACACGTCAGAACAATCGTCACATATAGCAGCAGTGAGCTCTTCCCTAACACAACAACTGAGCCACACTCGATCTGACGATTAGACCTTGACATGACCCATACTCGTTCGTCCTTGACACATTTCGACTGCAAGTAGCACATACTAGGCACATACTATCATAAGACTGAAAACGACCAATTCAATCGGTTAAACTTACTGACTGTGTGCACCTCATGCCGGACTAACTGGGGGGCTGATTCCCTCTGACACACGGTCGAAACAGTCTCTTCATATTATTCCTGCAGAAACAAAGTTATCAGTTTGGCACTCAAACACGGACAAACCTGAAACACCTTTGGCTTGGCTATTCACAGCCTTAAACAAAATAACATTCTCAAAATACTTTCTAGTTTCTAGGCCTTATCGCGGACCTTTAGCTCTACATACATGAAATGCGGCAAACAAATACAAATCCAGCGCAGAGTTCAAGTGCTGATATCAGACAGAGATCACGGTAAATCTGCTAGTTTCATATCACCATCAACAACGGGCATTTATCTGATTCAATCCACATAGAGTTATGCAAGATTTCACTTCCTAAACTCACTCATTAGCGCCAGGGAAATCAAACCATCCTCAGAAACAATCCTGAACAAGAATGTCGGCCGCACAAAACGGGCGTGGCAGGAACACGACAGTGCCCACCACTATCATACCGAAACTGCTGACACGTCACAATGTTTTAGGTTCTTAGATTCGAAAACGTGAAACACAAAACGCAGAATTATTTGTTTCGGAAAACGTTGTACAAAATATTGTTCATAGCATTCAAAGAAAACCGTGGAAATATTCATCAGAATGGTATTCGAGTATTTAAAGTACCTGCCACATTCGAGTACTTGTAAATACCCACGCGTAATCACACTCTGTCAATATAGATGTCGCGACGATCGAACGCCAAACTGCTGCTATAGCGTGACTATCGGCGCTTAACTAATATAGATGTCGCGACGATCGAACGCTAAACCGCTGCTATAGCGTGACTGCCGGCGCTAGACTGCTGCTATAGCTAGAGGGCAACTACACCCGCCCCCTTGAAGCCACCACGCAACACATGGCTTCAACCTTAGTCTACGACACGAACATGACGCACAGGAACATCTTCCATACAGAGTACACGATCTCGCCTACAGCTTGATCAGCTTAGTCACCGGTCGCTGAAGCGTGACGCCTCTGGTCTTAATCTCTACCGAGCGCACTAATCCGTCTGCTCCGACTCGTACTCGCTCCACTACTCCTAATGGCCACTGGCCTCGCGGCACAGCATCATCAACAACTAGAACCGCGTCTCCTACAACAAGGTTAGTCATTTTCCTTGTCACCCTATACGGTCGTTCCTGTAACAACGGTAAGTATTCTGCTCGCCACCGCTTCCAGAACAGATTCGCGAGATACCTCGCCTGCTTCCAACGTTTGACACTATCTGAGTCACTCTGGCCTACAACCCCGAACGGCATCACCACGCTGCCGGTACCAATCAGCAAATGGTTGGGAGTGAGTGGCTCGTGATCAACCGGATCTAAGGATACTGGGGTGAGTGGCCTACTGTTCAATATTGCCTCTACTTCACACAATAGAGTCAACAGAGTTTCTTCCGTGAACGTCTGCGAGTCCAGCAATGATCCCAGGATTCTTCGGATTGAGCGTATCTGTCGTTCCCAGACACCTCCGTGGTGGGACGCTGCGGCTGTGTTGAATTTCCATTCTACTCCTTGATTCAACAGCGTACGATGCAGCACATCTTCATTGGCTCGCAGTTTCTCCAACTCCTCTCGAAGCTCGCGACTGGCACCAACAAAATTTGTCCCCTTGTCTGATCTGAGCACCTTGACGTGACCTCTCCGTGCGACGAATCTACGTAAGGCGCACAGGAATGAATCTCCTGACAAATTTTCGGCGACCTCGATGTGGACGGCCCTCACCGCCAAACAAGTAAAAACGACTCCGTACCTCTTCACCTGCTTCCGTCCTTGTCGGACAAAAAACGGTCCGAAATAGTCGACTCCGGTTCGAGTGAATACAGGTTCTTCCGCTGTGACTCTGTCACTCGGCAGGTCCGCCATCTTCTGAGATTCTGGTGGGCGATGTCGTCGGCGGCATCCGAGGCAACGTCCAATCACTCGTCTGACGATCGAGTTCCCTTTCACGATCCAGAAACGTCTCCGTATCTCAGCTAACACATGTTGACGTCCAGAGTGTCCGACCTTCTCATGCACCTGTTGAACAGTTAGTTCGGCGAAATAGCAATCCGGGAGTACAATTGGGTGCTTCTGGTCCAGGGTGACATCAGCATTCTTCAAACGTCCGCCAACTCGGAGGATCCCATCACTCAGGAATGGATTCAGCTTACTGAGAGCTCCCTTCACTTCCTTCCCATTGCGGAGTGTCTCCAGCTCATCAGGGAAACTCTGCTCCTGTACCCACCTAACGACACAGTTCTCTGCTTCTTCGAGATCTATCAGCTGGAGTCGAGATGGACGCTCCGTTTTTCGACCCTGCGATTTTGTCGCTCTTTCCTGCAATCTCTTCTTCACCTTCAGCAGCCAAGCCACTGCCCTTAGAAGAGCCTGCTTCTTACTGTAATGACGAATGAGCACTTCGATTGGATCCTTCATCTTCTCTTCTGACACCTTCATTGCACAGACCTTCACCTTCTTCACTTCAGGGTCTTCTTCCGCTATCTTCACCTTGGTTGGAGGCATCATGGGCCACTGCTCCTCTGGAAGCCGAAGAAAGGCCGGTCCAGAAAGCCACCTCTCACTCTGAACACCTCGTGAACTGTCATCGGCCGGGTTTTCTTCACCTCTCACGAACCTCCAGTTCTCAGTCTTTGATCCATCGTGAATGATCGCCAACCTGTTGCTGACAAACGTGTGGAATCTAGTCGCAGTGTTCTGCACGTATGCGAGAACGGTAGTACTATCCGTCCAGAAGAAATGTTCTGTCTCCGAACCGAGCTCCATCGCGTCCTCTATCAGCAACCGAACACGTACCGCCGTCACTCCAGCCATCAACTCCAGACGAGGAATCGTTATTTTCTTCAGTGGAGCCAGATGTGATGTACCTTTCACGAAAGCGACATGGACATCTCCCTGCTGGTCAGTGAAGCGAGCATAGGTGACTGTACCATACGCCCACTCACTAGCGTCGCTGAAATGATGCATCTGGAGCGTCGCCATTCCACCGAATTCAGCTGGCTTCAGATGCCGTGGGACACACAGATCTTGAGTAGCATCCAGATGAGATAGCCATTTCATCCAGTCGCTGCGCTGTTGAGCTGGAATCTCCTTGTCCCAGATTTCTCTCGTCCTGCAGAGATCTTGTAGGATCTTCCTGCCACAGATTATCGTTGGCGAAACGAGACCGAGCGGGTCGTAAATAGAACTCACTGCTGAAAGGATGCCTCTGCGGGTCAACGGCTTCGCCCGCAGACTGGTCGCGTTGACAGATACCCTCAGCAGATCGTTCTCTGTATCCCAGACTACGCCCAGGGCGCGCTCTTCTGGTAGACTTTCACCGACTCCTGTACATGTCTGCATCACCTTTGACCTGTCGCCTGTCTGGATCGAGGACATAAACGCCGAGCTGTTGCTGGTGAACTTCTTGAGACTGAACCCACCTTTCTCCAGCAGCGTCTTCAGGTCGTGAGCCAACGAGATGGCCATGTCAGCGTCGTCAGTGCTCTTCAACACATCATCGACGTAGAAGTTGCTGTTTACAGTCTTCACTGCTTCAGGTGATACCTCTTCTGCGAAGTCCGTCGCCGTCTCTCTCAAGGCGTAGCACGCCACACTTGGCGAAGACTTCGCTCCGAAGATATGGACAGTCATCCGATACTCTACCACACCAGAGTCGGGGCGCCCGTCTCTCCACCACAGAAATCTGAGGAGATCGCGCTCAGACTCTGGCACCCGAACCTGGTTGAACATACTTTCCACGTCAGCCATGAAGGCGACTCGTTCCATCCTGAAGCGCATCAGGACATCGAGTAGCGAGTTCGTCATGTCGGGGCCTTGCAGTAAGCAGTCATTCAGACTGACACCGCCGTACTTCATAGCACAGTCATAGACGACGCGGATGCGGTTCTTTGACGCGTGGCGCACTCCATGGTGCGCCAAGTAGTTCACTCTGCCGTCGTCACGATGAATGTCTGCTACTGGTACGGGCTCAGCGTATCCCTTGTCGATCATTTCTTCCACAGAATCTCGGTACTGCTCAGCGAACTCAACATCGTTCTTCATTCGGCGACCTAGACTCGTCAGTCTTCTCTCTGCCAGGACACGGTTGTTCGGCAGTACGACGTCTTCATCCTTCAACGGAATGCTGAACTGGTAGTGTCCTCTGTCAACTTTCTTGGACGCCTCCATCACCGTGAGCCACTTCTTGTCCTCCTCAGACAGGCCTCTCTTCATTGAGTTGAGGTTCTCTTCGTATTCCCGATCATACATTCCTTGTATCATATCTTCGATGTCATTCACCGACGTTCTGTAGACCTTTGTTCCGCTGTCTGTGGCTGAGGAAGACGTCACCCCACTCAGGATCCAGCCGAACCTCGTGCGCACAGCATACGGGCTTCCGTTGCGACTGGGTATCACTTGCAGCGGCTCCATGCTGAGAAACGCGTTGGCGCCGAGGAGAAGTCCAACGCATGTGGCGTCTGCCTGCTCGAATTCTACTCCTGTGAGATGTTCCCACCTACTGACATCGAGCTGGTGGCTGGGGAACTCCTCTGGGTCCACCGGGATACGCTCCAATTCGAACAGCGGAGGCAGCCGGAGCGCGTGCCGCCCACGTAGGTCCGAAACCGTTACTCCCTCTACTACATGTGTTTCCACCTTCGTGCTTCTGTCGACTGTCGTCAGTGAAAGCTGTTTGCGTGGCATGTTGTCAATGTTGAGCTCTTTGATCAACGCTGAGGAGATGAAGGAATGTGTCGAGCCGCTATCGAGAAAAGCGTATGTTTGACACGTACTCGTACCAACACGAACAACAACAGGCACAACAGGGAGAACTGGCTTGCTAGCCTCAGACTCACCCGCTGTTTGACATGTTGTTACTCTGGCGGCGTCGGTAGGCCCCTCTCGTTGCTGCTGCTGGGTGTGATTCAGCTCATGTCCACGTCCATGCTGATGTTGGACAACATGTGATGGGTCATGCTGACGGCCCTGTTGTCCTTCTCGTGGCTGTTGTTCCTCCCTTTGATGCTGAGTGTCGTCTCGATCCGGGTGCTGTCCACTCTGTTGCTGATATTGCCGCACGTACTGTTCAGATCGTTCCCAGTGTAGTGAGGTTGGATGTCGCCTTCCACATGTCCTGCACGACGCTCTTCGCCTGCAGTCGCGACTTCGATGTCCTTGCTTCAGACAGCTCCAGCACAGAGCCTTCTCCCGGACGAAGTTTTGCTTCTGTTGACTCGTGACTGCGGAGAGACTCTCACACTCACACACATCATGACCTCGTCGGTTACAAAATACGCAGTGGCTCTCCTCGGGACGCGGCGTGACATGAGTCGCCGTTACCACTGCTCGACCAGAGCTCATCCGTGGACTTGTTCGTGTCACCGGTGTCCTACTCATGGGGTTCCCGCCAAACATGTCCCTACCGTATGTGGGGTTAGACGCAACTCTCGCTTCCTTTGTTACAAACGCGACCAAATCGTCAAAGTTCGCTTCTCGACCTCCAATCTCTTCGATGTCATCAACTTTGTGTCTCCATTTGTTGATCAGTAGCCCAGGGAGCTTCCCCACGATTGTTCTCAGTGTCCTGGGGTCGCGAAGAGTCTCGTGTGTGCCGCAACTACTCAGAGCGTTCCTGCACTTGGTGAGCAAGATACCAAAAGAATCAAGTCCTTGTACATCATCCGCTCGAATCTGACTGTGATTTTCTAGACGAGCAATGAACGCCGCTGATACAGTACTAGGCCGTCCGTATCTACTATCTAGCAACCGTCGGGCTTCGTCGTAGCCCTCCTGAAGATACATACAAGCAGACACGATGTGGTGCGGCTTTGTACCAGGAACCATGTACTGTTCTAAGTAGTACAACTTCTCATCAGGGTCGTCTAACTTGGACGCGATCTTCAAGTCGAATGCTCGGATGAACTGGGGATATTCAGTGACGTCACCTTCAAATCTCGCTATCTCCACTGATGGAAGACGCATGAACCCAGCGAGAGCACGCTGAGCGCTCTCCCCTGACGAGTGTGAAACTGTGTGTGCGCCGGCCGAGCGGACGACTCGTTCGCCGACCTGGTGATTCACTGGACGCGAGGTAGTTTGATGGATGCTCTGTTCATCTATCGGTGGGAAGTGTGGAATAGCACCATGTTGAACGACATGTTGACCTGCTAATTGTGATGCCTGTGAACATGCAGCATACTGATCCGGGATAGCGTCTGAAAACCTGTGCTGGAACACCAAAGACTGTCCTACTGAAGTGAGTGGTTCCTGACTGGCGACCTGACCGAGAACTGGTCCTCTAGCGCTCACCGAAGTCGGAGCTCCTTGAGCTTCCACGAACTGTCTTCGCTCTTGCATCTGCGGCTGTAGTACTCCATGTGGAGGCTGGGTCGTCAGTACCTGCTGTTGTTGCTGACAGTGCACTCCGGACTGAGGGTGAGTGATGTTCGCCTCTGCTTGCACCTGTTGAGAGCGTTCAATCATTTTCACTTGTTCAGACAAGGCAACTTCTCGAGCTTTGGACACATCAAGGGCTTCATTTATCTCAAGCAGCTCCTTTTCTTCCTGCAATCTGGCTAACTCCCTGCTCAGCTTTTGCTTTTCTGTCATACGCTTGAGCTTGACCTCCAACTCAGCTCTGTTTGCTGCTTCTTTAGCTATCCTAGACCTGACCGAGGAGGTAGAGGAACGGGATGCTCTGGATACATTGGATGCACTATCCTGGGGATGCACAACCTGTTCGTGCGAAAGAACATCACTTCTCACACCTAATTCAACTCCTATACTCTGACCATCAACATCAGTGACAGATCTACCACTATCAACAGCAGCAGGACAACCATCGGTTTTAACACCTGAATCCTTATCAGTCATGTTTGAGTTTACATCGGCTGCCACTACGACATGAGCACCATCAGATTGCTGTACACCTTTCACATCACGAGCATCAGGGTCAGCACCAGCATCAACAAGTTCATCCCCAACTGCAGCTTCTAGTCTCTCACATAGTTCAGCTTTAGTCCCCTTAGTGTTAAGACCCCGCCTCTCCAGCTCAGCCTTCAACTCACTGGACTTCAGTTTATGCATTCTCAGTTCTTAGATGGCACTCACTGCGTTTCATTGAGTAGTCTCGTGGCAGGTGCACTCACTGCAGTCGGATGAGCAGTCTCGTGGTAGATGCACTCACTGCAGTCGGGTGAGCAGTCTCGTGGTAGATGCACTCCAGTTGCAGTCGGATGAGCAGTCTTGTAGCAGACAGTCAAAACTGTTAGTTCCGGCATGTCTCCGTCCCAAAACAGGTGTAGTCAAACACAGGACCTTGTATTCATCTTGTCTATAGATCCGTTTCTGCAACACGTCAGAACAATCGTCACATATAGCAGCAGTGAGCTCTTCCCTAACACAACAACTGAGCCACACTCGATCTGACGATTAGACCTTGACATGACCCATACTCGTTCGTCCTTGACACATTTCGACTGCAAGTAGCACATACTAGGCACATACTATCATAAGACTGAAAACGACCAATTCAATCGGTTAAACTTACTGACTGTGTGCACCTCATGCCGGACTAACTGGGGGGCTGATTCCCTCTGACACACGGTCGAAACAGTCTCTTCATATTATTCCTGCAGAAACAAAGTTATCAGTTTGGCACTCAAACACGGACAAACCTGAAACACCTTTGGCTTGGCTATTCACAGCCTTAAACAAAATAACATTCTCAAAATACTTTCTAGTTTCTAGGCCTTATCGCGGACCTTTAGCTCTACATACATGAAATGCGGCAAACAAATACAAATCCAGCGCAGAGTTCAAGTGCTGATATCAGACAGAGATCACGGTAAATCTGCTAGTTTCATATCACCATCAACAACGGGCATTTATCTGATTCAATCCACATAGAGTTATGCAAGATTTCACTTCCTAAACTCACTCATTAGCGCCAGGGAAATCAAACCATCCTCAGAAACAATCCTGAACAAGAATGTCGGCCGCACAAAACGGGCGTGGCAGGAACACGACAGTGCCCACCACTATCATACCGAAACTGCTGACACGTCACAATGTTTTAGGTTCTTAGATTCGAAAACGTGAAACACAAAACGCAGAATTATTTGTTTCGGAAAACGTTGTACAAAATATTGTTCATAGCATTCAAAGAAAACCGTGGAAATATTCATCAGAATGGTATTCGAGTATTTAAAGTACCTGCCACATTCGAGTACTTGTAAATACCCACGCGTAATCACACTCTGTCAATATAGATGTCGCGACGATCGAACGCCAAACTGCTGCTATAGCGTGACTATCGGCGCTTAACTAATATAGATGTCGCGACGATCGAACGCTAAACCGCTGCTATAGCGTGACTGCCGGCGCTAGACTGCTGCTATAGCTAGAGGGCAACTACACTTACTTTAATTATAAACAACGCGTTATTTTCTTTATTCGAGTGACGTAAATGCAAGAAGATACTCTTGAAACATCCACACATCAGCAACCTTTCTCGCGAGCACTTACGCTCCGAAACTTTGTATTTGGGGGACCATCAAAGCGTCCAAAACCGCAGCATCCAAAGTACGCAACATCCAAAACCGCAGCGTCCAAAGTACGCAACGTCCAAAATACGTCCAAAATCGGGCATATAGGGAGCATTCACAACGTCCAAAACCGAAACATCCAAAACCGCAACATCCAAAACGTATCATCCAAAACCGCAACATCCAAAAACGCAACATCCAAAGTACGCAACATCCAAAGTACGCAACATCCAAAGTACGCAACATCCAAAGTACGCAACATCCAAAACCGTTAGGTTAGGTTAGGTTAGGCTAGGTTAGGTTAGGTTAGGTTTCCTTATCCCCGGTAGGCATAAATCAGTAGGTTAGGTTAGGTCAGGTTAGTTTAGGTTAGGTTAGGTTAGGTTAGGTTAGGTTGGGTTTCCTTATCCCTGGTAGGCATAAATCAGTAGGTTAGGTTAGGTTAGGTTAGGTTAGGTTAGGTTGGGTTTCTTATCCCCGGTAGGCAAAAATCAGTAGGTTAGGTTAGGTTAGGTTAGGTTAGGTTAGGTTGGTTTTGGATGTTGCGTGCCTTGGATGTCGTGGTCTTAGACGTTGTGGTTTTGGAGGATACGTACTTTGGATGTTGCGTTTTTTGGATGATACGTTTTTGGACGTTGCGTTTTTGGATGTTTCGGTTTTGGACTTTGTGAATGCCCCCTATAAACCCGATTTTGGACGTATTTTGGACGTTGCGTACTTTGGACGCTGCGGTTTTGGATGTTGCGTACTTTGGATGCTGCGGTTTTGGACGCTTCGATACGGACCCTTTGTATTTACCCCACATTTCCAGCTATCAGGGAAAATGCTGATTTCCAGCTACTTGATCCGTGCCAAGGCAACTTGAGCCTGATGAAATCGCAGTTGGTCAAAGGATGCCAGCACTTGAGACTAGGTAGGTGGCCATACCTATTGTAGTGCAGTAAGCAGCAGGATACTATAATAAACTGCAGTGAGTTACAGAACAATAACACCGGAAACTGCAGGGAGCCACAGGATACACCAGGATAATCGCATGTATGTATGTGCAGTCAGTTTTGAAAGTACCGCACATTTGACATTGGTGCGGTGGATCCATTAAGCCCGACTGAGGAAGGGCTGCTAAATTTGTGTCACTAAGCCAATTGACATTTTCATCCATCCCCCAGGTCGATTGTGTCAGTGACTCAAATTTAGCAGCCATTCCTCATTGGGCTCGATGGATCCACCGCACCGATGCGCGGTACTTTTAAGACTGACTGTACAGGCCGATGTTGGACCCGTCTGGCTGCGATACCTGGTCCCCCAAGTTCCCCTAGTTACCGAGTGCCCTTCATCCAATGTTGGGATCCGTCCGGCTGGGATACCCGCGGTGCCCCATGTTCCCCTAATTACCGAGTGCCTCCCAAGTCCCAGCCCATGTTGGGCGACTGAAATACGCCACATGACACTAACACTGGAGATTGCGGTGGACCACATGACACTAACACTACAGAGGTTGTAGAGGTTGCGGTGAAAGTTATAAATATATAACTTTTACATTAATCCTGTACAAAAGTTAATATAACTTATATTAACTAAAATTTGAGGTAAAAAACATCACAAAAAGTAATATCGTTCTTTCTTCTAGAACAATATTACGCAAAACACGCAAACCCGCAAAAAAAACGCCCGCAGAAAACGCATAGTGTAGCTAGGCCACACTAGAGGTAGCAGTGACCCGCAGGATATGACTGGATACCGCAGTTCGCAGAAGACTGCAGATGACATGACACTAATACCGGAGACTGCAGTGAGCCACAGAACACTAGCACCGGGGACTTCAGTGAGCCACAGGACACTAACACCAGAGACTGCAGTGAGCCACAGAACACTAGCACCGGGGACTGGAGTGAGCCACAGGACACTAACACCAGAGACTGCAGTGAGCCACAGAACACTAGCACCGGGGACTGCAGTGAGCCACCACACGCTAATACCGGAGATTGCAGTGAGCCACAGAACACTAGCACCGGAGACTGCAGTGAGCCACCGGGCGCTAGCACTGGAGACTGCAGTGAGCCACAGGACACTTACACCGGAGAATGCAGTGAGCCACAGGACACTTACACTAGAGACTGCAGTGAGCCGCAGGTCACAAACACCGGAGAATGCAGTGAGCCACAGCACACGAACACCGGAGACTGCAGTGAGCCACCGGGCGCTACCACTGGAGACTGCAGTGGGCCATATGACAGTAACACTAACACCGGAGACTGCGGTGAGCCACCGGACACTAACACCGGAGGCTGCAGTGAGCCACAGGACACTAACACCGGAGACTGCAGTGAGCTAGAGACTGCATTTGAACACAGGGCACTACCACTAGAGACTACAGCTGGTCATAGGATACTAACACCGGAGAAAAGCCACAGACTGAGTGGGTGGCCTCTGCTGTTAGCCTGCAATGAGTTACAGGACACTAACACTGGAGAGCGGAGACAGCAGTGGGCCACAAAAGTCATTTAGTTACAGAACACTACAACAGCACAGTTAACTACAGTTAGCAATCAGAAAATCCCTGAAGACTGTGGTTGTCAGTTGTCACATCATAATGCATGTTCATAATGTACAGGGTGTCTCAAAAGTTCGCTTACACATTTCCCATGTCAATAAAGCATATAAGAACCGGCCAAAAATCTAAGGTTTTGGTGTCCGTGTGTACACTAGACAAATATGCATGCTTTGACAACTGATTCGGAAGGTTGGAAACCAAACCCTTTGCTGTATCTCCAAAAATATTTGCCCATACCGATTTTCGTCACTCCGTCAGCTGCCGGAGGCTGATAAAAGGTTACCAGCTTTCAAGCTCTTGTAGGGGAATCCCCCGCAGTTTCTGCGTCGGATTTAGGTTTGACGAGCTCCCCGGCAACATCCGCTTCTCCCTGAAAGCCGATAGCTTGCATCGACACCATCCGTGAGTATTTTGTAGGTCTTCTCTGGCGCTAACTCCTTCATGAATGACTGGCGCCGACCTCCCAAGCACCATTTTCCTTTTCAAAACAACCCCATTCCTGAATAAATGGGAAGTGCCAGGGGCATATTTTTCGCAGCATATCGTAGCAGAATGTGTCGGCTATCTGTTTCTTAGACACATTTTGCAAAATTTGCAAATCCCGAACGCTCGTCATTCTCAATGCGAAGACCTTCGCTGGGTTCCGGAGTGTTTTCCTCAGGAGAGATTCTGCTTTGTAAACGGCCAAAACCTGTCCATCGTGCGGTTTTGTCCGGATTTTGTGTGTAAAAGAAAGCTATTTGCTCCAGATCTGCCTCTTGAAACTTCGTTAGATAAAACTTTACATTAATTGACACTTTTGGAGGGTCACTTGTCCTCGGCATTGACGATTTTCGCATTATTTTCCCTCAAAATTTAGCGTTATAGATATTATAAACAATTTTAAATGATATTTTGTCTTTATTTTATGATGACCTGCAATTTTTGAAACTGGGTAACCTCTGTCTGTGAGCTTCTAGTCAGTTTTCAATAGTTAGGACTGCATTTTCAGC